TATAAATGGTGATCTTACTCTTCCGAAAGAATTGATTTTCTTTCTTTTTTTTTTTTAAGATTTTATTTTATTTATTTGAGAGAGAGAGCACAAGAGGGGGTGGGGTCAGAGGGAGAAGCAGACTCTCTGCCGAGCAGGGAGCCTGATGCGGTACTCGATCTCAGGACTCTGGGATCATGACCTGAGCCGAAGGCAGTTGCTTAACCAGCTGATCCACCCAGGCGGCCAAGAATTGATTTTCTCGAGCCATACCACCCTGAACACGCCCGATCTCGTCTGATCTCGGAAGCTAAGCAGGGTCGGGCCTGGTTAGTACTTGGATGAGAAAGGGTATCATATGCTTGTCGATCGGTCGAGAGTCCATTCTCTCTGGATTCAGAGCCTGTCTTCACTTGCTGAACTTGAGCATGTGCTTCATGAAACCTTCTGTGTCTACTTTTCTCATCAGTCAGTGGGGATGGGATGGTTTTAGCTAGGGCTGCTATGACAAAATCCCAGAGACCGGGGGGCTTAAACAGCGGACATTGACTTCTCACGGTTCTGGAGGCTAGAAGTCCAAAATCAAGGCACTGGCAAATTTGGTATCTGGCGAGGGCCTGCTTCCTGCCTCCTGGCCCTGTCTTTACGTACTGCTGGTGGGGAGCTCTGGTCTCCGGTGTCTCTTCCTTTTAAAGACACTCGCCCTGTCATGGGGACCCCACTCTCATGACCTCATCTAACTCTCATTGCCCCCCCCAAAAGGCCCCATCTCCATATACCATCACATTAGGAGGTAGGGCTCACCTTGTGAACTGTGGGGGGCCAGGCCCCTTCAGTCCAGAGCAGCGATCATTGGGCCAAATAGTCCGGAGGGCAGCACCAGAGCTTGCTATAGTCAGCCTTCAGCAAGTGGCCGGGGTCCGTGTGGTTACTCTTCTCGGGAAGGGTGGGCAGCATGCCACTCTCTTGAATCCTGTGTGCACATGCAACACAGTGTGCCCCATTGCTCTTTATAGGGAAGTGATACAAGAATGTCAGTGTTTGACAAGCATAATTATCTCAGCCTCATATAAAGGGTAATTACCGGGCATGTCAAACCCTGTTGTTTAATACTAGGTTGAGATTCACTTTCTTAATCATCCAGGATTGTTTTGGTTGATGATTTGTTTGCCCATTTTTATTTCAGGGCTTATCTATTAAGGACTTACAGGCACCAAGGGAGTCACAATAGAAAGGGGAGCTGGGTCCTGCCGAGGGGCACTTGGACTTGGCTCTCTCTGGCCCTGAGACCTAACCGTGCCCTCTGCAGGTCCCTCCACACGGTGGATTTTGGTAATCCCGTCCACATACTTAGTGTGACCTGGGGTCTTTTAACCCTACCGTCAGCTTTTTGCTTCTCTACCATTATCCAGCGGTGTGTGTGCACGTGTGTGTGCCTGGGCACTTTCTCCCGTGATTTCAGTCCATGACGGGGGTTCCTTTAATTAGTCCTGGTCAGCACAGCTTCTTTAAAAAGTTTCCCTTAGGCAAAGCAATCTTCTTTTTCAATATCGGTTACCGGTTTTATTGCTCATCTTGTCCGTCTGCCCCGGTGCTTCCCAGCACACCGGTACATGTCCTGTAATTTTACCCCCATGGCCAGCCCACCTCCAGATGCTCAGATGCCTGCTAGGCTGCGTCCGTGTGTGCTGGGGCCACACTTCCCCGTGTCACTTCTGCTAAAGGGCCAGATACAAAGTAAGCAGAAGCAGATCATTTCATTTGGGAGGTCTTCTAAAGTTACTAGGGCTGTCTGCTTGAATCGGAGATTGATGCCATCCTTTCCTTTGGCCACGCAGTAGCTTTCTCTCATTACCAGGGAGAGCGGACACTTCCCAGGGTCTCCAGATCATATGACGTAACTGAATGCTAGGCATCGTGTGGGCTGCACATTTCAGGTGGGTCCCTTCTCCCTTGTAGAAGCTCTGGGGAAGGTGATGGAGGTTTGGGGCGGTTCAGGAACACTCTGAAGCCACACAGGACCCCCGAGCCTCAGAGGGGAGCCCGGCCCAGCACCTTTCCCCGCCTGCTCTGGCTTCGGGAGCAAGATTGCTGGGCCCGGGGCCCATCCCTCTGGCCTCCGCCACTCTGGCCATGGCCGTTTCCTTCTCTGAACACAGAGGGTCTCCCGCCCTGGCAACTGAAGACTGGGGGCTAGAAAAGCAAAGGTGCTGGGGCTCAGGGGGCTGAGGAAACCCCTTGCCCTCGGCGCCTCTAGGAAGTCAGTTTATCGCTCGTAGTGGAACAAATTTCAAGAAGAGGCAGAGGCGGCCTTGGTTTGTCCAGGTTTATGGGATGGGAGGCAGCCAGTGCAGGGAGAGCTTTGACTGGACCCCTGCAGGGGTAAACGTGTCCCTGCCCAGGGGACCGTTCTCCCTCCCTCCCAGAGCCTGTGGGGATGCCCGCCCTACCCGGGGGAGGTCGAGGAGTGGCATGGGAGAAGGTTCTGGACCCAGCCTTGGTCCTGGGGGACTCACTGAAGCTTTCCAGCGAGAGCTGCCCCGAGAGGCAGTGTTTAACCGGCTGTTTAACTGTATGCGCTCACTCTGTCCTCCCAGGAAGGAGACAAAACAGGGGCACACATGCCATGCTTAAAATTCTTGGCGAGTAAAAAATAATCTCGTAACCTTCCCCTGAATTACACAGGCTATGTAGGAGACGAAAACAGCCTCATTATTTTTCTGGTATTGAAGACTGCCTCTTATGCTTCCATCAAATCATGCCAGCTTGGTAATTTTATTGAGAAACTTTGAAAACTTTGTGAGCATTGATAAGGTGATCACCCTACCCCTACTGTAAAATCCTGACTCTAAGCACAGGTAATACCTGAGCCGTGGTATGGAAAAGGGCTTCTTGGATGTTATTACCAATGTTGATTTAAGGCAGAGACCCTAGATTTTCCTCCAGAAAATTTTCTGCTGTTCTTGCTTCCCAGAATATCCAGGATATTCTTTTCCAGAGCACCTCGCCAGGAGTTTAGCCGCTTATAACATTTTAAACTCTTACTTGTTTATCTTGGTGAACTTTCCTGGCTAGCAAGGAAATCCATCATTATGCTTGGGTCCAAGTGAAGGAAAAAGAACCTTTTGTATTTTTTTTTTTTTAAAGGTCTATGTATGTTGTTAATTTTTATAAATGGGAGCTGGCCATGAACACAGTTTCTGGGTTAATGATAGAATTAGGTACGTGTGTGTGTGTGTGTGTGTATGTGTAATAGATATAAACTTTTAATGATGGAAAATGTCAAACATACACAAAAGTAGAAAGAACGGTAGCATGGAGCCCTGCTGTACCCTTCAGCCCACCTCACCAGCCAGCCACACGGGGGCCAGTCGTGTTTTGTCTGTCAGCCCGTCGCCTCCCCCAAACCCTTAATGCCTTATTGAGGCAAATCCCAGAATCATTTTGAATCCACAAATAGCTCTTCTAAAGTTAGGGATCCCTTTTGAAAACATAGCTATAACGCCTGTGCCCCACTTAATAGTCATCTTTTAACATCATCCCTTCTCCAGCAAGTTTTCCCATTTCTCCGGCGTGTTTGGGTCCAGCTTTGGATGAGGCCTGCAAAGTATGTTTGGTTGGTGTGTCTCTGAATTTCCACTCCCCTGTCCTTTTTTTTTCTCCTTTCTGACAACTTACTTGTTGAAGAAACCAATTTGCTCGTCCTATAGAATTTCCCTGATACTGGGTTTTGCTGCTTCGCCGCACATTTCCCATGTTCCTCCGTCCCCCGCTACTTACGCAGACTAGTGCAGTTAGTTCGAGAGGCTTGATCTGATTT